GACGAGTTGATACCTCTCTCGTCTCAGTGCGTGCACTATATCGCTCTGGCGCGCGGCAACACTTTGATAGCACTTAGCTTAGCCCAGTTCATTCATTAGGATCCAAACAGAGATGAAGTTAGAAGCGACCAAACACCTCCACGTTTTCCCTATTTAAATACAGTTACACGACCAAGTATGGTGAAACAAAATAAAACATGGCACTTTTCTAAGCGGGTAAAATGGATAATAATGTATGGCGGAATAGCACTTGAACTCGGCGCAGTAATATAACTATATCATCGGGAGAGGATTATGAGTGATGATATTACTGCACCGAGTTGAAGTGCTATCAAGTGCTATTCTGCCATACATTATAGTTATCCATTATATGTTATAAGGCAATAACATAGTTTAATGGTCTGTTTAATAAAAAATAAAAAAAAGTTTAATATGAAAAAAACGGTGGAGTGTTCCTTTAAACAGTAGCTTACTTATTGTAGTAATATTGTAGTAATACAGCTAGAGTTGTGTGAACACTATTTTAGTTGCCTGAACAGCCAAGTATACAACATTTTCCAATTCTAACTAAATTAATCTATGAATGAATCTAGCACTGAAATGTAACCATATTATAATGTAATTTTACTCTCAACAAACATAGAGCAAATTAAAACAATTACTTAAAACAAATTTACACATCAGAATTTTTGTATGTGTGAGGGAGAAAAAAAATAGTTCTCAGGAAGTGAAGTACATCTCTGCAGCTCCTCTTTTCTCCTCAAGCGCTCTCTCCTTCCTCCATCTCTATCAGGAGCAAGCTGAAGCCATCTTGTATAGTTGCTTCTATCTCCTGATCGGGAGCATGTTGTGTCAGACGATTTTTTTCTCACAGCAGCTAAAAGACAAAATATGAAATTAATACAAAATTAATAAATACATATACAAACATTAATCCACCTGTAGGTAACAAAATAAAATAAGGTTGCTTTGGTTACATTTTATACAGGAAATGGTTGCTTATAATGTGGCACTATTGAATGACTGTCAAAATACTGTTGTCAAACTCACAACAGTATGACAACAGTATTTTGACAAACAAAACCTTTTTAGCAAACAAAAACCTTAAAAATGTTTAGATATGAAAACTGTGGTGTAAACACAAGCTTATCTGTGAATTAACTTTTAATTTATTAACTGTTAAAATAAAACGGCAATTATCCACTAAAGGAATAGTTCAACCAAAAATTTTAATTCTGTCAACATTTCCTCACCTCCACTTGTACGATGCCTATATGAGTTTCTTCCTTCTGTTGAACACAGCAGAAAAAAAAAAAAAAAATGTTTAATCAGTAGAGAACCACTTTCCAATTTAATGTTACATTCCAGTTACCTGTCTGGTCACCAACATTCCTCAAAATGTGTTCTTTGTGTTCATCAAAAGAAACCATAAGAGAAAATGATGAGTAAATTTTCAGTTTTGTTTGAACTTCCTTTAAAAAACAAGAACAGACATAACGTTACACACACACACACATAAAATAGCAGACATATCCTGATTATCAAAGTCACAGATTAGATTTAGATATAATTAAATCTGATTATACAGCCATTGAATCACTTTGAGCTTTAAAAGTCAATTACTGTTGTTTGTTGCTGATTTCGCTGTGATTTTTCCTATCATTTTAACAGCATTAACTTACATTACATCCCGCAGGCCGGTCTATCGCACCGGTCGCGTCAGTCTGTACTCGCATTCTCAAGGGGCAGTGGATCCGCTACCATATAAGCAAAAGTTCACTTTTGTAAAGTTCACAAAGTGACATCCGAGTTTGAATTCTGGTATTTAAAAAAAGCACAAAGAAAGAGAGCGACGAACTTCACTTACCTGAACAGCAGTTGTCTGACAGTGACAGACTTCTTCTGTTCTTCACCCTTCAGCGGGAGAAATTTCAAACGACGCATACATCACGTGAACCTCATTAACCAACCAGAAAAGCTGCTGTTACCGTGGAGATCGCGCCAAAATAAGCATTTTTTAAATGATATTTTTTTTCAAACGTTTTTTAATAAACTGATATATATATATATATATATATATATATATATATATATATATATATATATATATATATATATATATAGTTCGTTTTTAACATGTATATATATATATATATATATAGTACGTTTTTAACATGATTTTGTGGTGCTTAAACTAAAAAGTATGGAAAATGTTGACTATTTTGTATGTGAATTATTTTTTCTTTAAACTATAATTTATTTATTTTTTTTAAAAAAAAAATCAATTATCATGTTAGGAAAATGTATATTTTGTTCAGGTCAAATGGATTTGGGAATTGTTTAATGATTATTGAATTTTGTGAACATTGCTGAAAACTAATAGGCCTAGCAGCCCTAAATACTTATAACTGTCCAGTACACAAAGGCCCATAATCGCTACACTGATCTGGGCCATAATCGCTAAACTGATCTGGGCCACACACCTCCCATCCACAATCGGCCCAAATGTTGTCTGCCGTCATGCATGCAGTGCCATCATTGCCACGCATGGCCCAGAGTTGGCTGACATGATCTGGGCCACACACCTCCCATCCACAATCGGCCCAAATGTTGTTTGCCGTCATGCATGCAGTGCCATCATTGCCACGCATGGCCCAGAGTTGGCTGACATGATCTGGGCCACACACCTCCCATCCACAATCGGCCCAAATGTTGTTTGCCGTCATGCATGCAGTGCCATCATTGCCACGCATGGCCCAGAGTTGGCTGACATGATGCATGCCAGTGCCGGCAACACGCCAGCAGTGCCATTTTGAGGCCACATTTGGGCCAAGTCTGTTTGCTATGTGGGTACTTTTGAAGAAAATACTTGAAGTACAGAATGTCTACCAGACCAGTTGTCTGACATTGGGAGTTTGATTTATTTAATTAAGAATTTGTAGTTTAAATGTTTACTTTTGTTGTGAACAAAACACTTGGAAGTACAGGTTGTTAACCCTCTGGGGACCAAGAACGCGCCCACGCGTTTTGCTGTTTTTTTTTTCACATAGCAGCAACATAGACTTAAAATACTCCGTCATTTATGGTCATATAAATAAAATCAATACATGATTATAAACTATAGAGGGTCTTCTTTTTTTGTGTACACTCACAATAACATCAAAACCTTGTGTTTTTTTTTTAAATAAATAAAATAAACAGGGTGCGCTTTCAGCTCACTCTGTCTCCGCAAAAATCTTTCTGAAACATGTCTGGAAAATGAACGGAAACTCCGCTAATACTTATCACACAAACATGAAACATACGTCTAAAGAACGCTTTAAATTTCTACTTTTAAATAAAACAATTCACATTTAAAACAAATATTCTCCTGCAATGTAATCTGTCAAAAACTAAAGAGAAGTACAGTTTCTCCTGTCTCAGCTCATTATCGTTAATTTGTTCACACCCACTCGCAGAGCGCGCTATTCATAAGATAATGTGTTGAGGCCATTTGCAAAATAGATAAACGCCCCCAGGCAAATGCTGTAAACACACAATATTTTTTAGTCAGATTAAGATTCGTTTTGCGCGGAGGAATGAGGATTATAGGATTCCTATGAGGAATAATCCTGGGACATTTACCACAGAAGGGCTGGTTTATTTTCACTTCGAGGAGGAGCAACAGATTCAGCTGAGAAGTGTAAGTGTTTTGTGCTTTGTTCTAATCGCGATATAGAATAACGTTAGTGTCTGTAAACGGACAAATAGCATATCCTACTGTTTAAATGTGAATTATGTTTCTCTCTCTGTGTGTGTGTGTGTGTGTGTGTGTGTGTGTGTGTGTGTGTGTGTGTGTGTGTGTGTGTGTGAATGAATGAATGAACGCACAGATACGTATGGAAGCACATGGGTAGCAAAATTCAATTTGAAATGTAACATGCAAAATGACAATGCAATATGTAAAATGGCAATGCATTCTGTATTTAAATTTACATTTTACATTAACCATTCTAGCAACGTTTGGTGCAAAATGAAAATGAAAATGAAATTACAAAATTTACATTTGCCATTTCATACACTAGTTTTAATTTGCATATTGAAACGCTTTATAAGTTGCAAAATTAAAATTAAAATGTATTACAGAAACGTTTAGATATGTGTAACATGTTCAAGCAAAAACTGTGGCAAAATGATCATTCAAATGTTATTTTTCTTAATTGCATTTACACTCACAGTCAATACACTTGCGATTGCATTTTCATTAAATGTCCGGCAATGAATGTAGCAAAATTCAATGTGCATTCCGAGCCAATCAAGTCTCCGCCCCCTCCCGCCCTGCCAATCACTGCATCAAGGCGGGGTTTGAGTTGTGTTGTCCGGGGTATTAGCATAGACTGTAAAAAATGGGGTATTATTATGCATAAGGTTTAAGTGAGGCAACATGGACAAGTCAGTTCCACAACTTCTCCGAGAAGCTGCTCAAGCAATAGAGCGAAGTGCAAATGCTGCCCCTTCAGAAAGGCCATCGTCAAGTATGACGCCTCCTGATCGAAGTGGTGGGACACGGGGTAAGTTGGCAGAAAGAAAAGAGACAAGGGGTCGGTCGTCAAACGGTAGGCCTAGGGTTGCCAACTTTCACTCGTGGTCTGGACTGTGGAGTGTATTTGACGATCACACTCTTACGTGACCATAGAGCGTCTTTATCTGCGGTCACTACTAGATTTTAAGCACACGAATATAGCCAAAAAATCGAAATAGTCGGTCCAAAACGTTAAAATGTAACACCTACTCCACTTCACTGCAAACAGTTTGTATTCTTTTATTTCAGGTTACTTAAAGGTCATGTCGTGATGTATCGATCTTTTATTCGTCACGTCATACGAATTCGCAATTCAGAGTTTACCAAATTTTAACTTTTAGTGCAGCGAAATTCGAAACTTCCTCGCATGATCTCCCCCACTCGCATTTGTTTGAATGCAAGGCAGTTGGCAACCCTGATATAGCATTAATCAGTCAATTTATTAAAATACCAAAGACTAACATACATTTCATATTTTATGACCATTTTATTGCAGCAGAAGTTTTAAGATTATTTGCCCCATATTCAAATTCACGGGGCCGCCTGCCTAAACGTCCCAACACTGCTGGGCCTTCAGCAAAAAAATCGAAAAGTGTGTCCTACACCCATCGTTTTTTTTGTCTATCAAAAAGAAAGGAATATGAGGTCCCAAGTCCTTCAGTAAAAAACAAATTAGAGAGGGCAGGAATAGGAGAGAAGAGGATAACCTTTCCAGGTAAGACAATAACAAATATAAAAAAAATGCTTCCATTTTAATAATCCAACTCATAATCAGAATTTACATTGCATATGTCTTTTATATTTTATCTTTGTTCTAGACAAATACTGCACTCCACAGGATTTTTCAGACCATCTTTTTCAGCATTTCCCCATCTTGAAAGAGTGTGGCGGTTTCCAGCTCTTGCGATCCAGAGGATCAACGCGTTCAAAAATTTTAGAGACAATACCCTGTCCAGACGATGGCTATTGCCCTGAGTACCTCTTAAGTGAGTCTGTCATGATTGGGCAGGCTGTCATATATATCAGGCCACTCCAGAAAGATATAGATGTGCAGGTAGGTTTAAAAAAAAAAGTTAAAAACTGTGCTTAGTAATATTCTAGAAGTTGGGGAAAAGTTTAAACTACCAACCTTAAGTGATAAGCTACTTTTAAATAAGGTAGTTTAGGATTTTCCCTAAATTAATATTTCTTCTATTTAAAGATAACCCTACTATCTGCTAATGTTTAGGTCTTTTTTATTCTTGTGGTTCAGATTCTTGAGAGTGACCAGCCTATATCCACTGGACCACTGACAGAATGCTTGTACTGCAATGAGAAGTATAGCCTGTCAGAAATACAAGACCATGTTGATGTTTGTGAAAAGTAGGTGACATTTAAACATTCATATACAATATTCAACATTTTATATAAATAGGCACTTTTTTCCCTTTAAAATAATGTATATTTGATGTGGTTCTCTAATCTCTTAATGCAGATTTAACACTTTGGACCTTTTTCACAGACCGTGGTGATGCCTTTCCCCCCCCCCCAAAAAATATTACTTCATAAGAGTAGTGATGTTTTTTTGATTAATGTACATTTTTCCCAACATACTTTACATTATAATTATTGGCCATTCAATTAAAGAAAAAGTTATTACTATTGTGGGAAGGTTTTTAATACTGCTCCTGAAGGAGTGATGTTGAATTTAATATTTTTCACTGCTGTACTGTGATTATGGTTATATCAGGTTACATGAGTCAGGCAAAGTGATATCAGATAACACTGGCAGTACAAGACAGGAAGAAATTGCAGCAACCATGTCAGAGGATAATGCTGAAAGGGAGGAAAGGGCCTCAACATCATTCACTACTGTTTTCTCAGCCAGTACCACCAGCCCATCAGCAGAGCCTGCCACTGAAGGTGTCTCCATCTAAATGAACATACCACTGAACATAGCTTTCTCTGTATTAGCTTTAGCACACAAATCATGTTTTTCTTAAACTATTAAAAAAAAAACAGGCAAGCTGTCAGGGATATTAATCATATCACAGTTCTTTTGATGATTTGTTGTCATCACGTGTCTGTGTTTCCATAGAGTGGAAGATTGAGCCTGATCTTGAAACAGCTGCCCGGCTGTTTCGAAGACATATCTTAAAGAATGCTGAGGACAAACCAGACCTAGTTGTAACACTATATCTACACAGCTGTAAGGATCGGGAACGGGACATGTTAACTTTTTATAAACGTCCTAATATTGATTGGACAAGTCCATTAACAGTAAAACTTAAAGGTATGAATATTTGTTATTCACACCTTTAAGTTTTAGTCTCGGAAAACAGGACATTCTCTTCCATACTGGAATTATTTTAATAGCGGATAAGGCTGAATTTGAACTTAAAACCTGGACATTGACCACCTGATAGCCCTGCTTGCTAGCCACCACCTGGATGCTCTGCTAGCAGCCTTCTACAGGTAGCCCTGTTTCCTAGCCTGCTGCTGGTAGCTCTGCCTGCTAGCCATCACCTGGATGCTCTGCTGCTAGCCTGTTGCTGGTAGCCACCACCTGGATGCCCTGCTGCTAGCTGCCCGTGCTAGCTCCACTTGCTAGCCACCTCCCGGATGCCCTGCTGCTAGCCCCACTTGCTAGCCACTACCGGGATGCTCTGCTGCTAGCCACTACCTGGATGCTCTGCTGCTAGCCCCACTTGCTAGCCACTACCTGGATGCTCTGCTGCTAGCCCCACTTGCTAGCCACCTCCCGGATGCCCTGCTGCTAGCCCCACTTGCTAGCCACCTCCCGGATGCCCTGCTGCTAGCCCCACTTGCTAGCCACTACCTGGATGCTCTGATGCTAGCCCCACTTGCTAGCCACCTCCCGGATGCCCTGCTGCTAGCCCCACTTGCTAGCCACTACCTGGATGCTCTGCTGCTAGCCCCACTAGCTAGCCACCATCTGGATGCCCTGTTGCTAGCCTGCTACTGATAGCCCTACTACTAGCCTGCTACTTTTAGCCCTGCTTGCTAGCTATCACTTGGAAGCCTCCCTGCTAGCCTCCATTCTGTAGCCCTGACTTTCTGACTCCAAGCTACTGCTCACCCCTGTTAAGGCTGTCTTCAACTAAAACTGGTAACTTGACATCATGCATTTGTTTATACTCTTCATACTTTTACAGTCCAGCCCTACACTAGATGAATTTAATATGTCCAAAATGAGAAGTAGTATACTGATACAGTTAAATTATGGTCATTTCTCAATGTCATCTACAAGTCATTATGAGATATACCGCCAGAAAATCAACCTGTGTAACCAAAAAAATTGTTCACAAATTATAAGACTCTGTATCTCCAGAACCTACTGTTGTTAAATGATCATTTTACTGTCTCAGATTACTCTTTTTCTCAGTTCATAGAGAACAGTGGTAATGACAAATATTACCCAGCCAAGCAAAAACTACGCTGTATGATTATGCTTTTATTGTTGTTATCTGGTAATGTTCAGCCCAATCCTGGTCCTGTTCCTGGTCTTCCTAACACTTTGAAATCCTTAGCCACTCCTTCAGATTTGAAAAGCAGACATGGCCTTGGTTTTATACATTTAAACGTTAGAAGCCTTGTCCCTAAAATGGATATGATTAAGATCTGGGCTAATACAACCAATGCTGATATCATTATTATCTCCGAAACCTGGCTTAAAAAATCTGTATCTGATGAACTTATTTCTATTGAAGGTTTTAAAGTTTATAGAACTGATCGGGTTGGTAAAGGAGTTGGGGTTGCCATATATGTGAAATCTAAGTTTATAAGCTCGGTAACCCTATCACTAACTAAAGCTAAACAGTTTGAAATTCTGACCGTGAAAGTGAATATCTCAAAAGACGCTGATATTACAGTAGTTGGGTGCTATAGACCTCCATCTGCTTCAAAGGATGCTTTCCAATCTATATCTGAAATATTACATGAAATGAATGACTCTGAATTTATTCTTATGGGTGATATGAATTGGGACTGGCTTTCTGGGAACTCTGATTGTTTTAAAGATTTGTGTAATGACTTAAATTTAGTGCAACTTATTAATGAACCGACAAGAATAAATCCCAAAACAGAAATAAAATCTACTCTACTAGATCTAATCATAACAAACTCAGTTCATAAATATACCTCAACTGCCGTATTTTGTAATGACGTCAGTGACCATTGTGCAGTCGCCTGTGTAAGAAATACAAAAATCCCCAAGGTAAAACCGCGCATCATCCTAAAAAGACATTTTAAAAGTTTTGAACAACAGGCTTTTCTGCATGATCTGTATCATAGTGAACTCAGCAGGGTGTCTTTGTTTTCGGATGCTGAAATGGCATGGGATATTTTTCATTAAAATTTCAGCTCCATTGTAAATAAATATGTACCAATCAAAAAGTTTAGGATCAGTGGTAAGGATAACCACTGGTTCTCAGACAGTCTATCAGAGCTAATCTGTTTGAGAAATAAAATGTGGGCACAAGCTAGATTCTCCAAATCTTCTGCTGATTGGACTGCATTTAGAACTGTAAGAAACAAGTGTACTTTGATGATTAGAAAGTCTAAATCTGAGTTTTATTTAAAGTCATTCACAGAAAACTTAAACAACCCTTTAAAGTTTTGGAAATCAGTTAAATCTGTGTCGGGTGCACGTGTGACCTCAAACCTCCCTGAACAGATTCTCATCGGTTCAGATGAAATAAAAGACAAAGCAGTCATAGTCAATCAGTTTAATAAACACTTTGTTCAGGCTGGATTCATATTTAATCAAACCGTAAATAAATCTGTCCCATGTCCTGCCATGTCAGCATCTGAAAATGTAAATGTAAATCGTGAATTCTTTAATTTTAAACCGATTTCAGTGTCAGAAGTTCATAAAGCCCTCAGAGACATTGATCACAAAAAGTCAGCAGGTACAGATAATCTGGATCCTTTTCTGTTAAAAGTGGCAGCTGATATTATTGCTGAGCCCATAGCGCATATTTTTAATTTGAGTCTTCTTTCCAACTCTATTCCTAAAAGTTGGAAAGCAGCCTATGTCCTCCCTTTACATAAAGGTGGAGACCCATCAGAATTGAACAATTACCGTCCAATATCAAAACTCTCTGTTCTGTCAAAGATCTTGGAATCATTTGTGAATGTACAGTTAAAACAGTATTTAGCTGACAAAAACATTTTAAATAAATTTCAGTCAGGGTTCAGAAGTGGCCATAGCACTATTACTGCTGCTACATTAGTGACAAATGATATTATTGGGGCCTTAGATAAGAAGCAACACTCTGCTGCATTATTTATTGATCTGTCGAAGGCATTTGATTCAGTTGATCATGGATTGTTATTGACCAAACTATGTTCAGTTGGTTTAAGTGAGAAGGCTGTTGCATGGTTCCAAAATTATTTTGTAGATCGTACTCAATGTGTTTATGCTGAAGGTTATAAATCTGATTTTCTTGAGATAACTAAAGGTGTCCCTCAAGGATCAATCTTAGGACCCATTCTGTTTTCAATTTTTATAAATGATTTGGATAGAGATGTTCAAGCCAAATTACATTTATATGCTGATGATACAGTGGTTTACACCCAGGCTTCCACCATTTCAGTAGCAGTGCACGAACTTCAGACTGCATTTCAGGCATTGCAAAACACATTACTGAGTCTAAAACTGGTTTTAAATACACAGAAAACTAAGTTTATGGTCTTCTCAAGAGCTCGAGCTCAGCTACTTGACAACTGTGGCCTCTTGTCCTTAGATGGGAAATCAATTGAGAGAGTGTCTTCATACAAGTACTTGGGCATATGGATAGATGATAAGCTCACCTTCAATGAACATATCACTGCTTTAGTCAAGAAACTTAAAGTCAAGCTCGGCTTCTATTTCAGAAACAAATCTTGTTTTACTTTTAGTGCTAAGAAGGAACTTGTGGAAGCTACTTTTCTGTCGGTAATTGATTATGGAGATATATTGTACATGCATGCTGCATCCTCCATCTTGCGTCATGTTGATTCAGTTTACCATGCATCACTACGATTCATAACAAATACAAAGTCCCTTACCCATCACTGCATTCTTTATGATTTAGTTGGTTGGACATCACTTAAAATTCGTAGACAGCAGCACTGGTATATTTTTATTTATAAAGCTATACTTGGCAAACTTCCACTGTACCTCTGTAACCTCCTCTCTGTCTGCTCTGGTACCTATCAGCTACGCTCCTCAAAGTGGTTGCTCTTTAACGTGCCACGAGTTACAACCGAATTGGGAAGAACTGCTTTCTCTTATTTAGCACCTTGGGGGTGGAATAATCTACAAAAAAAGCTAAGGTTAGAAACCCTTATGTCCATTAATGAATTTAAAACTACTGTAAAGAGTGTTGTGATGGAGACATGTTCTTGTTTTTCTTAAGAGTCTCATTGTGTTCTTTTTATACTACTTTTATCATGAAATTGTAATTTGGTGTTTGTTATGTATGCATTTGTTGTGATTTGGCTGCTACCTTGGCCAGGTCTCTCTTGTAAAAGAGATTCTGAATCTCAATGGGACCTCCTGGTTAAATAAAGGTATAATAATTTGTATATAAAAGCATTTCATATATGATGAAGCACTCTGCATACTACTTGTTTCTTATTTTACTATTTGGTTTTATTTGAGTTTTAGTAATGTGTTTTTTATGTACATTGTATGTAATCTGTTTAAAAACAGGAGATGCTGCATTAGGGGATGGAGTAACACGGCACTTTTTTACCTTGATAATGGAAAAGCTCCACAATGGATTTGAACTTGACATTGGTAAGTTACAATTTCCAGAATTAAGTGAGTTAAGGAAGATAAAATGTGTCTGTAAAGTTAGTATACAATTTTAACAGTTGAACGTATCTTTGACATACCATTTCTTTGACCTCCACTTTAGTTAGGGTAAAGGGTATGCAAATACAGAATGACATTTTAAGAAAAAAAAACATTTGAAGTTTATTAAAATTTTAAAACAAAAAAAAATGTTTTACTCAATTTAATAAGTATGAGCATAGTTAATAGAAGGGTTTATTAAGAATGGTCATCTAAGTGCATTTTTCTTGTTCTAAATTTACCAGATAACTGTGGGAAAACACTTTTATTCAACGGAGCAGATGATCACAAGGTTCCTTCGACATCTAGAGCACTTTTGGATGGTGACCTGTTCAGAGTTGTGGGAAGAATGATTGGACATTCATTTATTAATGGAGGTCCACTCTACTCAGGACTTAGTGCAGCTTTCTTCCCCCTTTTAAGTGGCAGTAAAAAGGATGAATCTCCAATTCTGGAATTGAAGGACTGTCCTGATACAGATGTGATTGAAGTTGTGTCCCTTGTATGTATACTCTGTCTTTTGTCTCTGTGGAAAAACATACATTTTAACAAGTTTAAGTCTTACATTTTCACATTTTGTATAAATCATAGCTGGAAAGCCAGAATGAATTGAATCCGAACGAAATGGACAGTATCAACAATCTGGCCATCAGTTGGGACCTGCCAGCAGTCAACAACATCAACAGAAGATGGTTGGCAGAAACCATTCTCTACCATGGGGTATGTATTATATTATTTAAAAGTGAAAGCTGTTAACTGCCATTGGATATGCTACTTCACTGTCTCTACCACTACAAAAGAAAAAGAATCTTCATGCAAGTAGTTAGGACAAAGGTTTATCATGGTATTTATCATGGCTTGCATGGCATTTGTCCTACTTGTATGGTTTATGGTTAATTTCTAGGTTGTTGGTCGACGTGAAAAACAGATCTCACAGCTGCGGAGAGGACTCAAAGATACTGGTGTTTTGAGAATGATAAAAGAACAACCCAGTCTAGCTGCAGTACTGTTTCCCAGATCTTCTGCACTAGTGCTGGAACCAGAGGTCTTTTTTACTTTATTTATTTTTTATTGATGCTTGCAGTAAATGAACTGGGCTGGTAAAAGCTTACTAAAATGCAAGAAGGGGGAGGGCAGTTTCTAATAAAACACTAGGTAGTTGAATTAATTACTGATATAGTTTTTGGGTAACGCTTCCTTTTACAGTACAGTACTTACGTGTACTTACAGTACAGTACTTACCTAAAAAAGTACTGGCTAATATAATTACATGAGTTAGGGGTAGGTTCAGGGTTAGTACATAGTTATTACCCAGTAATTGTAATTACTATAAGTACGTAGTAAGTACATGGGTAACAGGACTGTAAAAGGAAGCGTTACCAATTTTTGCAGCCCTGTGTTTAGGCTTGTATTCAATGCTGCTATCTTTGTATTAGATGATACTTAAGAGAGTCATCTGGCCAGAACCAGACAGTGATGAAGATGAGTCCCAATTCAACCTGGAGCAATCTTGTGATGTTACGGCCTTCTTGCGTGAATATATTCAAACAGGTAAAACAATTGTGCTTGTAATTTTTTTAAGTTTAATGCGCGTTAAATGTTCAGCAGCAGATGATTGTATGTGTAGGAATGATGCAATAGAAATGTTGTGTTTGACCCAAACTGATGCAGGATCACCTGCTGAACTGTGCGAGTTGCTGAAGTTTTGGACTGGCTGGGCTGTTCTGCCTCAACATCTGTATGTTGAAGTATCACCTGACCTGTCATTGCCAGTGGCTTCAACCTGCCTCACAACACTTAAACTTCCTTTAAGATGCAGAACCTTTCTTGCATTTACACAAGCCATGAGAGCATCAGTTTCATCCACAAGGTTTGGCTTTGGCCTTGTCTGAGTTGTTACATTTAAAATTGTTCATGAACTGATAAATGCATGTTTGGGGAAAAAAATGTAATGACGTGTTTGTCGTCTTCAGTATTTTTATTATTTTCATACATTTTTCTTTTTTTAATGCATGTTCTTGAAAGGAACTTTCCCAGTTTTGCATTGTTTGAAATTCTTACGAGTTAAATGAAGTTAACATAAGAACAAATTAAATACAAATGTTAATAAGAAAACATTACTCTTGTTTCTCACAAAGCCTTAATGCAGTTAAGGCATTTCATTCACAATGTTACAATAAACTCACCAAAAGAATGTCAGTTCATGGTGTCAGTCCTCAATGCTCAAAACAAGAACATCTAATATCTCAACATCTCTGTCAGTTGTGCCACTGTGGAATTATAAACATTCACTGTGTCATTTAGGGGAACATCCCGGTCGGGAAGACCTGAAATCTCCTCTGCAGTGAGGCTGCGTGGCAACTGCACATCTGGGATTGAAATGCTGTTTGCATCTTCCATGGCATGTGGTCCATCCCAGTCAACACCATAGTCCTCATCAACCTTAAAAAAAATATTATGCAATTATATTATGCAAAATAACAAGCGTTTATGTGCCACCAAGGCATAAATGTATTGTTCTGATGTAGTTCTGATATTCAATTTAATTTAATCAATCAATAATACTATTGATCAGCATTACCAAACGTGGACGTTTTATTATTTTAATTAATACTGTGGAGCTGCTTTGATACAATCTGTGTTGTGAGAAGCGCTGTACAAATATTCCTGACATATTCTTGACTTATGAGTGAGGAAATTAAATTGAATAATTTGTTAAATAAGACTTCCCGAATGTCCCAACTTCGAGACATTTAGTGGTTTAATGCAGTGCTTCAGTTCTCAAACAAAATCCTGGGGTTTGAGATGGAGACAAAACGTGCCCATGGGGGATGTGCCTCCAGAACAGGTTCTGAAAGCACTGGTTTAATGGATCAGCATAAGAGTAAATGTTATTGTTCTTGAGTTTAAATGTGCAAACATACAGTCCCTAAATCATCGGCAGCATCTCTGTTTTGCAGCCACAGTTGATATGGAGATCGACCGTTCTCCGTTCTCAGTCTGTGCAAATTCCATGCTTCTTTAAAAGTGTTAAGCTGATGTTGTAACTGGGAGGAAAAGGTCCAATGCAGAGCGAAAAGGTGGATCTCATCATCAGGGTTCAACAGTCCAGTCACTTCCAAATGGTAAAACAATGCGTGGAACAAATCAAGGACTTGTGTGTATACATCTCGCCAAAGACGTTCAATCCTAAAAAAAAAGATAATGAAAACAAGTATCACACTACGATCACTAAAATTCATAACCTTTTTATAGATCAAAGCCATCTCTGTGCGTTTATATTTGAATTTGACAGGTGTTTGAATAGTCTTGACCACGGGTGTCCAATCCAGGACCTGGAGATCTACCTACCTTCAAAGTTCAGCCCCAACCCTGATCACACACAACTGCACCTAATTAGACTAAGCTAATTAAGATCTTTAGGAGCACTTGAAAATTACAGGCATGTTTGATTTGGAGCAGAATATCTGTTCCAAACAGATACAGTTTGACATTCTGTGCGAACAGAATATCTGTTCCTGGATAGGCAGATATCCAGGAACAGGAGACTGGACTACCTCCATATTTGACCATGAAGATGGTGCACTGTAAAAAAAAAAGTTGCCTGTAAAACTGTTGTATATTGCTGTAAAATTGTTAAGAACAAAACTGTAAAGCAATTTTAGAGCAATTAACAACAGTTTTACACGACTTTATTAGCAACTTTTTTGCCAGTAAATTGAACTAAAGCTTGATGATTAATGTACTTTCCTGCAGGACAGTCATCCCAAAGATTTTTCAAGCAAGGAATGGGCCAAGATTGCAGTAGAAAGGTGACAGATGCTTCTAAGCACTTACAGGCTGCGTTTGTGAAGAGGTTATAAAGATTAAATTATTCTGCGTTACGTTCTCAGAATCACTCCAATGTGTCTTAATAAACTTTCTATAATAGTTTACTGATGCCTTTGTTGAAGGCATCAAAGGTATTGTTTTGCATAAAATTTTGTTTTTGGCAGTAAAATGACTTGCCGGTCATGGGGTTGAATAATTTTGATTTCAACTGTACATATGTGATAGAAATGGTGTCCATCAAAGAAAGCCAATCTTTAGCATTAATTTTGATTATGGCTTTTCGAGGATGCGTGTATGGAGCAAGTGGTGGTTTGTTGTCTCACTAATTGTGTCATCAGGTTCTGCGCTACTATTGGTTTTTGATTTCACAGTTGTTGTAAGGAGAAGACACTGCATGACTGTGCCAGAATTTCGCCAGAGGTAAAATGTGATTGTTATGGAATTAATCATCAGTTAGTGAACATTATGTCAAGCAAACATAAATAAATATATAGGTAAAGCATTATGATTTCAAACCATACAAGTAATTTTTCAATTACCTCTGATTGTGAACGCTCCTTCCCGTAATGTGAGAATTGCGGTTTTCTCCACGGTTCTGTACCATAAATTGAGCCACCTCAATGTTTTCTCCTCCTTTATCTGAACGAACACGATATGGCAACCCATACTGGCTAACAGCACCAAGGAAAGCATCCAGCACAGTGGTGGCATTATTGTTAGTAGCAGCATTCAGATATACTACAAGACGACTAAACCCATCAATACCTCCATGGATCACGAATCGCCAGCTGATTTTAGACAAAAAGGATGAGAGACAAGAAAAGAACATCAGAGTTACATTTTGACTAGAAAATGTCCATGACTTTTTCTATCACCACCCTTATAAATCTGTCTTGTATATAATTTAATAATTAATATAATTATAACAACAATGTTGTCATTCAAAGTATAATGCTTAATATTATTGTCTCACAGTATATGTGCAGTAAATGAAAATATGTAGGTCCCTCACAAGGAGATCATAATATTTGGGGGTCCTTGGCATGAAAACATTTGACAATCCCAGTTGGGTGCCATCCAAAAAATCGTATTACCGTATTAATTTGTGATTTCCATCTATATGCCACATGCAATTCGGAGCAGGAACTGAGTACTGTCTGCGATGAAGAGTCCGGTTAGTCAGGGCTCGAAGTTGTGTTCCCTCTGGGTCCACTCTGTGTAGTGATTCACGTACCCTAAAAACTTCAGATGATGAAATATTGTGATTTTTGTAATGTTGCGTTTGCTTAAAGTTAATTAGAGTTGGGTAAAATCACTTCTACTTGATGCAAAGTAAATACAAGAATTTCAAAAAGAGAGTTACTGAGATAAAAAATAATATTGATAATGACTAATGGTTTTTATATCTTCCAGAACTGAACTGGACTTAATGTTTGTGTGTACACACCAAATATCTTATTAGCTATCTGGTTAGTGTAGACTGAAGGCAGGTTTATACTTCTACATTGGACCAAAGCCGTTTGCTCTGTGTAGCTACGATGGTTACACCTCTCCATTATATGATTGCATGTTATTTACGCAGAATGCAAGTGCATATATATAAGGAAAAGCTCATAAAACATGAATCTAAATAACAATTAGTCATCATAACGTAAAATACCTGCTTCTGCTGCATTTTACTCCTGTAGTCGACACCACTGGTTTGGCTGTATACTTGCAGAACAATACAAACACACCAAGGCAGAGCTATAAATGCAAACAGCCACGTAGGGCACCTCATATAGAGGCTATGCAGGTCTGCCATAGGTCCGACATAGAAGTATAAATCAGCCTGCAAGTATGTAAACAAAAACAAACTTACACTGAATCAAATGTCCACTTGCTTGGAGAAAAGCTCTCATCATACGGTACCCACACCGTGGGTGCTCCCTTTGAATTTCCATCACCAAACTGTCCAGTTCTGTATTGTCAATGCCAGAATTTCAAAGTACAACTCTGAAACTCTGCAGAACAAGTGCATAATAGAGTGATATATTTAGCATTAGATGCATCAGATATTTTATGATTTTATGTGATGAACAGAATTGTGTAAAACCCTATACACATATGTCTGTTTCTTAGTTATTCATGTCATATCTGAATGTCCTAGTTTAATTTCTACCCATCAGATTATTCTATTCAATTGTACAAAGCAGGTCTAAATACATCAGTCACACAGGATAAGACTTGCCGGTAGTAGTATGTTTGTATGTAAATCAATTGTTACTTCTGAAATGAATTGAAGTAGATAACTATTAACAGTTACTACATTTTTTTAATGCCTTTTTTATTAAAATCCCCTTGTCATGATTCTGCCCTCGTGTCCTTGATTTTCTCTAGTCTTGAGGCAGGATCATGACAGAATCATGTTTTGTGTGCAAGCACATGGTCTTGTGTTTTGAGCCATGTGCTTGTGTTGTCTCGTTACGTTACCCCGCCCCCTTGTTATCCTTGTCTCGTCATTTTTGTCTAGTCAGTTTTACCTGTCCTTGTCTAGTCAGCTTCACCTGTCTTTGTCATTAGTGTCTCCCTATTTAATCCCCTTGTGTTTGCTGTCCTGTGTCGGTACATTGTCAAACATTGTGAGTTATTCTCTGTGAGTATTTTGTCTGAAACCTGTTTATTGAGAATTGTGAGTTTGTTTCCTGTCAAGTCAGAGTCTTCGTTTGTCATCGTGTCTTAGTCTACCTCCAGTCCTGTTTTGCCCCATCGTGGGTTTTGTTTTCTGTTTTGTCATCATTAAACCCCTTTTGAGTTATTTGCTGTCTGCGCATGGGTTCGTTCCTCCATCCACATGACAGAATGTACCGACCAAAGAAGAACCCAGCAGACCGTTTGTCCTTCTCTGCCAAGCATCGTCCGGACCCCCTTGAAGAAGTCTGGTTGTCTTCCCCCCTCAACAAGAAGAGTGTCACCCTTCCATACTCACCCGAGGGTGAGTGGATCTTGTCAAACTTCTCTCGACTGTATGACCAATTCTCCCGGGAGGAGTCCGAGGTGGCATCCTCGAGGTCTTCACCTTCTGCCTGCCTACCTATCATTCCCGAGGGTCGAATGATAGGCGTCGCGACGCTTGGGGACCAGGCTGGTTCCCCCACGACTCCTGGCACTCCGTCTACCCCCTTCGGTCTTCGAGGGAGACGGTCCTCGTGGGACTCTCCTTCAGAGTCCTCAGCGACAGAGTCAATCCTGCCTGAGAAAGCCCCTCCTTCGCCCGACACAGTTCCCGCTGTGCTTCCCCAACCCGTCTCAGTTCCGGCTATAGTCTCTGCTTCGCGACCTAGGAGAAAGAGGAGGAAGAGGGGAGCCTCCCGTTCTTCGCCCGCTGCAGTCACAGAGCCCGCTGCAGACACAGAGCCCGCTGCAGACACAGAGCCCGCTGCAGACACAGAGCCCGCTGCAGACACAGAGCCCGCTGCAGACACAGAGCCCGCTGCAGACACAGAGCCCGCTGCAGACACAGAGCCCGCTGCAGACACAGAGCCCGCTGCAGACACAGAGCCCGCTGCAGACACAGAGCCCGCTGCAGACACAGAGCCCGCTGCAGACACAGAGCCCGCTGCAGACACAGAGCCCGCTGCAGACACAGAGCCCGCTGCAGACACAGAGCCCGCTGCAGACACAGAGCCCGCTGCAGTCACAGAGCCCGCTGCAGACACAGAGCCCGCTGCAGTCACAGAGCCCGCTGCAGACAGCGCTTCTTCCGAGTCAGATTTGAGCGCTTCATCCGAGTCTGTGTTCATGTGTACCGAGTCTGATTCAGTGAGTTCAGTTCCCGCTCCACAGCCGTCTGCTACGTCCCCTGTTCTTTGTCCTGTTCCTTTTTCCGCTGTTTCCCCAGTCAGAAGTCTTGTCTCGCCACCCTCAGCTTCCCCTGTCGTGATTCCCTCTCCGTCGTCCACTGTTCCTCCTGTCCCTAATCAACCCCGGACTGTTTCCTCCAAGACTCCTCATGTGTCCCGATCCAAACCTGCCCGGAATCCTCGTCCCAAGCCCTCATCCCGTGGACCTAAGACCCCCAGCACACCCATCCACCCTGGACCACCCCCCATGAACTCTGTGTTTCCTCCGCCACCTCTTCCTTGTTTGTTATTTTTATTGTTTCATCCGAACCCTGCTGTTGTGTTTTCGTGTTTGCCACTACTGTTATTTGTCATGTTTTGTTGGTTTGTGTCGATGTCTCAGTCTGTCTTGTCCCGTGTTTGATGTCCCCTTGAGGAGCGTCTGGTAGCCGCTCCTTAAGGTGGGGGTTCTGTCATGATTCTGCCCTCGTGTCCTTGATTTTCTCTAGTCTTGAGGCAGGATCATGACAGAATCATGTTTTGTGTGCAAGCACATGGTCTTGTGTTTTGAGCCATGTGCTTGTGTTGTCTCGTTACGTTACCCCGCCCCCTTGTTATCCTTGTCTCGTCATTATTGTCTAGTCAGTTTCACCTGTCCTTGTGTAGTCAGCTTCACCTGTCTTTGTCATTAGTGTCTCCCTATTTAATCCCCTTGTGTTTGCTGTCCTGTGTCGGTACATTGTCAAACATTGTGAGTTATTCTCTGTGAGTATTTTGTCTGAAACCTGTTTATTGAGAATTGTGAGTTTGTTTCCTGTCAGAGTCTTCGTTTGTCATCGTGTCTTAGTCTACCTCCAGTCCTGTTTTGCCCCATCGTGGGTTTTGTTTTCTGTTTTGTCATCATTAAACCCCTTTTGAGTTATTTGCTGTCTGCGCATGGGTTCGTTCCTCCATCCACATGACACCCCTTGTCAGAATTCGGGAATAAACTCAGAGATTATGGCCTTGAGGTATTTGTGTAAAATCATTAAAATATATTTAAGTTATTTACTTCAGTCCACACTGCTGCATTCGTCGATGTACCGTCCATCGACTAACTCCATACAAGGCCGCGATATCTTTAACTTTTAACCCATACATAAGATACCCCTCTATAGCCTTGCCAGGGATCTCCACGGCTGGTCTCCCCACTCCCCTAGGCCTATCCGAATACAATTGTTCTTCCACCACCTTTAAGAGGTCAGCAGCCAAACGGGTGTCGGCGCCTGATAAGGCAGAAAATTCTCCCAGACGCTCCAAAAGCGTACTGGTTCTATCACCTACATACGCGTAATAATCTTCGGAAATACTACCGTTTCTCTGTTCACGCTCCACTTCATCTGCTAGTGAATTTAACGCTCGTATTAGCTCTGCCGCCGCCATTTTTCCAACACTTCTAAAAACACGTAACATAGCAACATGTTATGTTTACCTGTTGCCGAGCCCCGCCTTGATGCAGTGATTGGCAGGGCGGGAGGGGGCGGAGACGTGATTGGCTCGGAATGCATTTTCAATGTGCACATTGAATTTTGCTACATTCATTGCGGGACATTTAATGAAAATGCAATCGCAAGTGTATTGACTGTGAGTGTAAATGCAATTAAGAAAAATAACATTTGAATGATCATTTTGCCACAGTTTTTGCTTGAACATGTTACACATATCTAAACATTTCTGTAATACATTTTAATTTTAATTTTGCAACTTATAAAGCGTTTCAATATGCAAATTAAAACTAGTGTGTGAAATGGCAAATGTAAATTTTGTAATTTCATTTTCATTTACATTTTGCACCAAACGTTGCTAGAATGTTAATGTAAAATGTAAATTTAAATACAGAATGCATTGCCATTTTACATATTGCATTGTCATTTTGCATATTACATGTCAAATTGAATAATGCTACCCATATGCTTCCATAGATACGCACTGTTACAGACGAAATAAAAGAACATTTCTTTGACTAGTTTTGGATAAAGTTTTTCAAATCAAATAAGCATCAAATAAGCTTCAAAATATAGACATCAAATAAGCTTATGTTTTGTCAATAAACTAATCAACTAAGATGTTTGTTCCAATGCAAGCTATATCAAAATAATGAATCCTCAACTTTGAAATATGTATGATCAAACTAAGACATTTATGGAAAAAGACTATTTTCTTTTCAAGATGTTTCCAACTCTAACTTTGAACTGAAATAAAACCATGTCTATATGGTGAAGGGTGTGTGATAGAAGTGTCCAGAGTATGCACCCTGTATTTTAAAGAAGAACATTTAATTATTTGCGATACATTATTCATTCACAAAGAATTCAGGGACATTATTCATTTCCCTAAAGGTTAGAGTTTTCCTCATTTTTTAAATTAAGGCATTAAGATTTTTTATTCCTCTTCTTAGTCAACTTTAGCATGGGTGTTTTCACTTATTCTAAGCAGTGTGTGTGTGTGTGTATATACACTACCGTTCAAAAGTTTGGGGTCAGTGAGAATTTTATTTTTATTTTTTGGAGGAAAGAAATCAATACTTTTATTTATCAAGGAATAATTAATTTGATCGAAAGTGACAGTAAAGACATTTATAATGTTACAAAAGTCTTTTGAACTTCCTATTCATCAAAGAATCCTAGAAAAAAAAAAAAAAAAAATTGTACAACTGACAGACCAACAACTGTTTCAACATTGATAATAATAATAAATGTTTCTTGAGCATCAAATCCTCATATTATACTGATTTGTGAAGGATCATTTGACACTGAAGACACTGACACTGGTGATGCTGAAAATTCAGCTTTGATCACAGGAATAAATTACACTTTACTATATATTCACACAGAAAACAGCTGATTTACACTGGAATAATATTTAATACTATAACCGATTTTTGTTGTATTTTTAATCAAATAAGCGCAGCCATGGTTAGCAGAAGAGAATTCTTTTAAAAGTATTTAAAATCGTACCGACCCCAAACTTTTGAACGGTAGTGTATATATAATTAAAAAGCAATTTTAACCAGAAACCAGTCCTTTGTTGTGTATCTTTGGATTATGTTGTGTTGTAAATAAATCCAAACAATCTAAAAGCCATTCTTTTTTAAATCTCCTCATTCTTTGTGCAAGGCTCCACATAAGGGCCTGATAGCACCTAATAGGGCCATTATGGGAGGGTCTTTGTCTTTCTCAGGTGTGAAATGCCATACATATTAATGAGAGATCACGCCTCCTCGCATAAAGCTTTCTCACACTAAACATGTCATACACATTATAAAAGACTTTATTGACTTATCTGAATGAGTAGTCAGGATGATTCTCACATAGTTTTGGAGCAAATATTCTAGGCTATGTGATACAATTTTCAAAAGTCTTGTGAATAAATAATCAATATGTGTTTTGTGGCCTTATTTCAGAAACTTTTATTTTTAAGTTTTTCAATAACCATGCATAAATAATATTCTCTCAAAAATACAAACATGTACATACATGTTGCTCAAATATTATGGTAGCCCCGTTTGTGCTATATAGAGTGAATTTACACCGTTGCCATTAACATGTTTATAAATAACTGAAAAAAGCACAAATGTCAGTGCATGTCAAAACATCCCAAGGGCCTCAAAAAACCCTTGGTCCCCAGAGGGTTAACTTGACCAGTTGTCTCAGGTTGAGAGAGTTTGATTTAATTCGCTAGAGTTAAATGCACTTTATATGGTGTAACTGTTTACTTTTCTTACAAAGATAATACTTGAGGTGCAGGACAAACCTCTTGCTGTCTGTCGACGTGCAATAAATATCGAAAGTTACGTACAAACACCTGTCTGTTCTACTCATTTCAACTGACTTGTGAAAACTGCTAAAAAAAAAATCCAAATTCTTTGACATATAGCAACTTTTTTTTAACAGTAACGCAAATAGTTACTTTCCCTGGTAACGAGTTACTTTTATTATAGAGTAATTCAGTTACTAACTTAGTTACTTTTTGGAACAAGTAGTGAGTAACTATAACTAATTACTTTTTTAAAGTAACGTTCCCAACACTGCCTATGACACTACTTATGCTAAAATAGTGACTTATGCGTAATGTAGCCTATTTTGTTTGCGAATAACTGCTTAGGTTATATAACGAGAAATATATTTCAGGCTCCGGTAAAAGAGGTCTAAATACAATATATTTTTTATATAATTAAATGTTCAGTTTTGGTTAGCCTATGACACTATATCATGCGTAAATAACTGAATACAGGTGTAAATGTTTGAAATGTAGTGATGTGTCGTTCGCGAACGATCCGTTCATTGCGTGTAGGCCTATCACTAAATGCGTGCGGTCTATATGGCCCATCAACAGATATTTCTCCATCCCATGGCCCATCAACAGATATTTACATACATTGTGCATCCATACCCATTAATTGTCCATCAGTTTACTTTGGATAATGTATGCTAACAGTTTTTTTTTTTTTTTTAGGAATGTGTTTGCATCATGCTCTCCTTCTCCAGCACCTCGCAGAGGGACACGCAGGTGTCGTTCAGTTCTCAGTGCGATCGAGAATCATACTGAGTAAGTGCACAGACGTAATATTTTACAGATGAAATTTAGCCTAATTGTGTTAACATCGTCATAATGTAAAAGTAGGCTACCTATTCTTGTGTGAAATTACAACAAAAAAAATTTATCCATGGCAATTAGTGATTGATAATGATAATAATACAGTTTATTTGATTGTGTTATCAGCATGCTTTTTTTTTTCTTTTTTATAACAGATGTGACAATGAACACGTCCATCCACCAGTTCCGAAGAGAGCCAAGGCAAACAAGCAGGCAAGCAACAGGCAGTCCACTTTTTTATATAAAAAGGCAAACAAGCAGGCAAGCAACAGGCAGTCCACTTTTTTTTTTATTAAAAAAAAAACAAGTTTGGTCTTTTTACGTTTGTTTTTTTGAAAGGATGTGTTAAGTGATAGTAATGACTTTAAGTCTTTACGTTCTTAGGAAAGATTTCTATTTTGAATAAATGCTGTTCTTTTTAACTTTTTATTCATCAGTGAATCATTCTTAGTTCAGGCTGCCTCACAGCACCTTGATGGGCCATTGGGGGAGTGTCTTTAGTCTTCCCACCCAGGTGTAAATCACATTAATATTCATGGCCATTCACACTCCCACGCATACAGCAGTGCTGACCAAAAACTGACGTAAGAAATTTAAATCATTATATTGTTGTTTGTGAAAGAGTGGTCAGAATGATTTTCACTTCATTTTGAAGTAAAAATTCTAGCCTACAAGCATAGTAACTCAAAAGTCTTGTGGACAATTATTCAGTATGTGTTAAATGGCCTTATTGCGGTGACATTTTTTCCCCCAAAACGTACTAACCACGCATAATATTTTTTTTCTATAAAATGCAAACATGTACATCCATTTTGCTCACATATTATTGTAGCAGAGTTTGTGCTGAATACAGCAAATTTATATGTTGGCAAATGGTATGTTTTAAGTAGCTGAAATAAGCACAAATGTCAGGGCATGTCAAAACATCTCAAGGGCCCCAAAAACACCTCAGACCCCAGAGGGTTAATTAGTCAATTAATGAATCGCTTAACTTATTGACTGCAATGTATATCTTCTTTTAGTTTTTAAAATTAAATTAAGGTAATCGGTGTCCTCAAATGAAATGAGTTAGCTTAACTTAAAGGATTTGACTTTGTGTGTGATATTGTGAGCTAGCAGTAACTACAAGCACTTAAAAGTTAATTTAAATTTTGTAATTTCACTGTTTTTACTCAATATAGTGAAGTTTCACCTATATAAGATATTTGAATGCAGTGTAAAGTTTAATTGTGTATTAAGAAATATCCTTGTTTTAGTGGATTTGATTAAAATAAGTTCAGAGTACTCATAACTATTGTTTTTATAAACTTAATTGAATTGAGGTAATCGGTCTCAAATGAAATGAGTTAGCTTAACTTGTTGGGTTTTACAGTGCACCTCTCAGATATTCAATATAGACATTAGATATACATGAAGTAACATTTTTGATAATCACACTGGTAATTTCTATAACAAAGTACAATCTCATAAGCCTAAAGAAGTCATTCAACTCATTTGATATTTAGAAGGAAAATATTGATTAATACCTTGATTATAATCACTCATTAGATATACATTGAAGAAGCAGTGGATTCCAGATTTAAATCATTACAATATGATTGTTGCTTATTTATAACGTTGAAAATATGATTAAGCTAAAATCTTTTTTATTCAAGGAACGAAATGTGTTGTACCAGGAACAGCAGTTCTAATACCTGCTTTTACCTAATACATTTATCAAAATTAATTGAGTAGAGTGATCACTAGGAACATACTATAACATTTGGAACATGAAGAAACACTTGAGGTGAATTACAGTA